ACTTTGCTTTACCTAGGAGGCTCTTAACAATCCGGCAACTGCCTTTAGCACCATACGTGTGCTAGACATTGTGTGAGGACATCTGAATCTAAAGTATTAATATAATTCTCACAACCTTGAAGATTATCACTTTCACTTACAGACACGGAAACTAAAATTAACAGAAGTACCTCCCTAAATCCGAAAGAGTAGGACATGAGAGAGTTGAAATTAAAGAATAAGTATCTTGCTTCAAAGTGCAATCCAGAATACAAAGCTAACTTCCCAAGAAGAAATATAAATTATATACTTCACTAATTAAAAGAAAAGGGAACCTGAGTGGATACATGTGCTATATCATTCAAATTTTAAAATTACCAATAAAAGGAGTATTACAATTAGACATTTAAACAATATGGGAACCAAAGCTTAGGCTATTTCAGAAACCTTTCTAGCGCTACCCAGTAAAAGCAGCACAGGCAAAGCCAGAGCCAGTCTGAAGCCATTCTCTTTCCAAATTGCTATGATACTTTATTCTTCTCTACACTTAATTCTTTTTCAAAATAAGAAAGATAAGATAGTTCGTAAACTTTTTCAGTAATACATTAGGCTTCGAGGGACAGGAAATTTCAATCAAAACTACTCAATTTGGACAATGCAATAGGAAAACAGTAAATGAATGCTTCTGTATGCCAATAAGTTCAGTGACAAAAATTGGCAGCGGGACAAATTTGGTTTATGGGTTACAGATGTACACATTCTTTAAGCTCATTTTCAGCTCTATGAATTTTGCTTTCATATTTTTTTAACCTTCCTGATATTTATATTCATCCTAACTAGTTTTCAAGTTCCTACTTATCATATAATTTTAGGCTACACACACAACAAATTTTCATTAGTTTATCTCACATACTAATACCAATTATCAACAGCTTAACATTCAACTTTCTATGAGTACCTCAGGTAAACTTATTAAGTAGGAACAAATAATGGCTTACATGTCATAATAAGTGCCTAAGATTAACACATACTATATACTTACTACTCAATGGCGAATTCATTGAATTTATAAAGTATACAGTATTAAGATAACTTTACATGAGCAAAAAAATTTCTCCCTCCTTCTACGAATACCGATGCATATATTCTAATATTTTCATTTTGAGAATAGTAAAATAATAAAGTGAAGGCTTACTGGAATAGGAGGTAGCATTCATCTTTCCAACTTTCACAGGAGAGCCAATGCTTTTCATTTCAAGACCAACTTCATCCAGACTGGTTCCAGTTTTTTACAATGACCACACCATGGTGCATAAAACTATTCAAAAGGAAAATAAAACAAAACAAAACCCACTAGAGTCTTAATGCTATCATGAACATTAACCTTAATATTTAAAAATTCTCGGGGCTGGGGATTTAGCTTAGTGGTTCTAGCGACTACCTCACAAGCCCAAGGTCCCAAGTTCGATTCCCCAGTACCAAAGGAAAAAAAAGAATAAAAAACTCTCTTTGACTAAATAAACTTCTAATGGGATCTGTCTTAGACAAAAATTTTAAATAGTTTCCAAATGGTTGCATAACCCAAGATAAGACAAATATAAATATACATACACACACACACACACACACACAGGTTAACATTTGGTATATGCCTCAATATTGAAGACTATTTTAAATGATTAACACACACTTAAAAGATATAGAATTTACAATCAAAATGCTTGTGCTTCCAAGTGAATGTATTCATATTCTATATAAAAGGTAGTTGCCAAATACACACACCATACTATCTATCTGCAGCGCACTAGATGTTAATGATAAATCTATCACAAAAATTCCAACACAATAAATGCCTTTGCTGACTTTTCCTGCATCTATTGACAAGATAAGGTGATATCAGGATGACTACTTTGGCACAGGGGCAAGTCAGGCTGATTAAGATAAAACCACTGATTAAGATAAAATCACCTTCTCTGGGTGGCCTTTCCAAACCATCCTATCTAAAATCACGGACTGGGAGGGATGAGGCCCAGTGGAAGAGCATAGGCCCAGAGGTGGGAGGTCCTGGGGTCAAACCTCTGCATACTCTGCCAACCTACCGCCCTTGCCCTGGTCTCATTTCCCTGCCTTGTTTCTCCACACAGCCTCTGACAAATGGTACCTTTTCATTGCTTCCTTACACTACAGTGTAAGCTCGCTGATGGCTGGGATTTTTTTTAATGCTTTGCTCGTTGCTCTTCCCAATACCTCCAATACAAACTCTACAGAGGCTTTCAAGACTATTTGCTGAGCTGGGTGTGGTGATGAACACCATCAGCCCCAGTACTCTGACAGAGGCAGGAGGATCCTTTAAAGAGTTCAAGGCCAGCCTGGATTACACAGTGGGATCCACACCAGCTTGGACTGTAGTGACACCCAAAAACTTTTTATTAAATGAATAAGTAACACTGAAATTTACCAGGTAACATACATTATTTCCTGAACACGCCAAATATTATGAAGAGCAGAAATTCTACACAATCACACTCACTGAGAACTGTAACAATAGTTTGTCTTTAAAAATGCCTTAAAATCTTGCTATTTTCTTTATGTCAGTTCTGGAAACCTTCTACTTGTTTCTTCCTCAGATAATGCTTTTCCTCCATTCTTTTTTTTTTTTAAATGAGAGTTCAAAAGTGCACTAAATTAGAAATGTTTTACTGTTTAGTTTTGTTAATGCCCTCTGTACTGTGCCTAGCGCTCCAGGTCACCCGGGTACAGTGGCACACACCTGTAGTCCCAGCACTCTGGGAGGCTGAAGCAAGAGGGTTATAAATGCAAGCTGAGCCCCACCTTTTCTCAAAATATAAAAGGGGCTGAATATTTTAGGTTCTATCCACAGTACTGCAAATAAAATAAAAAGAGTGAGTCCCAGGTCACACTTAAGATGGTTTAGCATTCATGGGTAAACAGAGCAATAAGAAAGGCTTTTTTCTGTCACTAGTCAACACCCACAGAAGTCCTCCAAGTGACCCTGGTGCCACAAATGTTGAGGATGTTTAGGAAGAAAGGATCCTAGAAAAAGATAATTCTTTCACCAATCCCCACATAAGAATGGTTCTCCAAATTCTACAGACCTTTTTTTCTACTTCAAATCCTTTAACAAAGCCATTGTTTACATAATTACACATACAGGAAAATCCTAGTACTCTATTATCCATCTTCTCCAAACATTTTTAAACTAAAGCTAGACTTAAAAGAGTTTTTGTTGAAAAATGTTTTTGCTGTGAGGCTGGCTTGAGAGAGAGAGAAAAAAAAAAAAAAACTTCGTTAAGACGTGGGATGATGGGCACAGTATTTTAAGGCTGAACAGTTTTGTTTATTTGCTATTATTATTTAGTAATGCATTCTTCCTAGTCCTCCTCCCAAAAGGTAAAGAGAAAAATTCACACTGGGGCAATCACTAAGCATGTCAAAGAAAGGTGTCCTGAAACCTATGACCTAAGTGTTTAGCACCAACACAGATAAAGTTCAGGCGATAGATGTCACTTGTCTCACCATTTAATAAAACGGAAAAAAATCAAGACTCCGCTCCCACGGACGGAGGCGAGAAAGAGCCGGT